CCTCGGTCGCAAACGACGCGACAAACTGCGTCTCCATGTCGTTGATCATTTGGTGCGCGATGCGGATCGGGTAGTCGCCCGCTGTGACAGCAAAGTACACAAAGTTTCCGCTGTCGAGCATAAAGTGGAGCTTGAGGCCATCAAACGCGAGCGCGTGGCGGCTGTTGGGCGACACCTCTTTCGCCCACGTCGGCGACGAGAGGACCTTGGCCGCGACGTCGGCGAAGCGCGCGCCGTCCTTCTTGCCGCCCTTGGTGTGCACGTGGTTGCTAATGATGCTCTTGTGGGCGACCCGCGCGACGGCGAGGAACTTGACGTCGTCCTTCGAGGCCATCGCACGCGTCGTCGTCGTATTCGTTTCAAGACTGCGGGTTTGTGGGACTGAGATTTTTGCTTTTTTCGCCGCGTGCGCTGATTGGTCAATCCATTTTTGCACACGTCAATAGCCAATCCAACGCGAATCTTCTCTGCCAAAAGTTGCGCGACGGACGCGAGGACTTTGGCATCGACAAGGCGTCGTCATAAGACCAAGGCGGGGGTAGAGTTAAGTTAAAAAGCTTACGAGGACGGCAACCGTTAGGACTTTTTGAGAGCGAGCACGTCCCGCCAGCTGACGCGATCTTCAATGCACTTGGCGCGGACAAACTTGGCACACTCGAGCTCGGAGCGCATTGCGCAAAACACTTCGCCGTTGACGTACTTGCAGCGATACCGCTCCTCGCCATGCGACGTCGTGATGCGGCGTATGCGAACATGCTCGAGGATCTCGTCGACTTGAATCGCCGGATCTTCAAGCTCTTGTATTGTCTGCTTGACCTCGCGCAGCTAGCGACGCGACTGCGTGAGCTCGACCTACTCAAGCTGCCATACCTGTGTCTTAAGGTTGGGGATGTCTTTGAAATCCCGCAGTCGCCGCAACGTCTTTTTCCGCTCGCGCACGTCGGACGGCAAGTAGTCGGAGATCATCTTGACGAGCACCATGGCAAGCTCTTGCTCGGAAACGCTGCCATGCTTGCGGTCGTCGCTGCCATCGACGATCCACTCCATAAACATCTTGATGTACGGGTCGTGGGCGGCGCAGAAGTCGGTGAAGCGCTCCTCGTACTTGGGCGCCGCCTCGGCCTTGACGCGCCAACACTCGAGCGAAGCGTAAACGAGCATCGCTGCTTGCGTGCGCTCTTCAGTCTACATCGGTATGAGGCACGACGCGCTAGAACGGAGAGCGTACACTGAGGTTGGCCGACGTGCGCTTGATCGCGGCCAGGGCGACCTGCATGTTCTTGGCCGACGCGACGACGCCCTTCCCATTGCACGCCGTCGCAAATAGGTCCTGGACAAAGGCCGACGGCAGGGTGCTGGGCGTCTTGCTGTAAAACGCCTTCTTCCGCGAGATGCGGAGGTCGTCGTCCACCGCAACCGCAACCTAATGCAACAACGAGCGTGCCGGCCGACTGCAACACGTCGCGCATGTCGTACCTGGTTCGTCAGCGGGTGCGCGCCCGTGAGCGCGATCATACCACTCACGCACTCGTGGTAGATCTGGACGTGCTCCTCAAGCGCGGCCATCTGGGCGCGCGCCAGCTTCGCCAGGAGCGCCTTGTTGTCTTCCATCAAGCCGACGATCACTTGGAGCAGTGCTCTGCAACTGCCTGTGCAATCCGGTTAACCGAATCTACCGGATACGGCGACCAAAAAAGGGCGCCAGAATCGCAATCGACATTTTGTGCCACTCGACGGTCCCATCCCGGGTCCATACAACCAACTTTACGTTAGGACGCCGACCATCCGTATGGCACTGCAAGCACTGGTTGGTGGCAGCTCCGTACCGCCGTGGAGGAGCTCGTCCCGACTGCATCGTTCTCGTCGTCCTCGACCTGGACCGTTCCACTGCTTGACCCGCCGAGGGCGGCTTCAACACCAGCACGGGGTGTTCGAGCCCGTTCCGCGGTCACCGATTGCCGCCGAATGGGATTTGTGTTCGTCGTGCTGCGACCGGTGCACCGCCTGCAACAAGCACGTGGCATACGTAATAGATTTGAATCTTAAGACAAGTGAATATGCTACAGGAGGAGGTCGTACATGTTTTCTTTGCCGCAGAGACAGCGGACATGGTGGTGCGTCGTTTGCTCGATTTGCGGCAAGAGGTCGTCGAGGAGGACGTCCGAGAGGAGGTTGGCGCCTGCGCGCCCGCCCATGAGATTGCCGGCCGTGGGCCCCAGCCGCAGCGACGCATACCCGCCCATGAGAAACACATCCACGTCGCGCGCAATGCGGAGGTCTTCGTCCACGTTCGGAAACCCTCCGGTCGTCGTCACGCCCAGCGGAAGAAGCTCGCGGAAGAGCGGGTCGCGGGTCACGTCGACGTCCGACCCTGTGGCCAAAATGATCTCGTCCGCGACGAGCGGCAAATGGTCGGACGAGACCGTGATCCGGAGCCGACCGTCGACCTCCTCGACAGCGACGACGGTCGTGCCACCCATGTGCGTAAACGTCTCGGGTGT